GAAATCCACTCCATAAAGTTAAAGTTTCTGTAGTAGGATCTGGTGATCTACTGTATCGAAAGCTTTTTTTAGGTCGAGAAAAAGTACACCAATTATCAGACCACTGTCTATATTCAGGTACCACTCGTTAGTCAGGGGCGTAGCCAGGATTTTTCAAAGGTGGGGGGGGGGGGTTAACAGAGGCTACTCACCATTTACACCGCTGCTCTCCCACATGTATCAGCGTGCTCAGTCGTATTATCGCGGCATGAAGGCCCAAGAGCCGTTGACGAAAATACTTTACAAAAAAAAAAAAAAATTAAAAAAGTGGGCTTTTCAACAATGGCTTTTACGGCCAAGATATTGTCATGGCGTTTTTGCCACCTGAATATTGTAGGCTGTTTGCTCTAAAGAAGGCCTACCAAGGGGGGGTCGCAGCAACCCCAGGACCCCCCTGGCTACGCTCTTGTTAGTAGCTTCCAGAAGGGCAGTTTGATTGGAATGCCCGGGTCTAAAACCAGACTGAGTGTCAGCCAAGAGGTCATACGTTATAAGATACTTATAAAACTGGTCGAAAGCTATTTTTTCTATCAATTTGCTAATCACAGACGAAACGGAGATTGGCCTGTAGTTGTTAGGGTCACTTTTCGCCCCTTCTTTGTATATGGGCGAGACTCTGGCCAACTTCCATTCATCTGGGAATATACCAGTGGTAATAGACAAATTGAATATACAGGTTAAAGAGGGTGCAACTATAGGTGCTGCCTCTCTAAGTAAGCGACACGATATCCCATCAAGACCACTAGCTTAGCTTTATCTAACGGGAGTGAGTTAATTAATTTTTTAGAACAGTATCTTTGGTCGTTTCTTTCAACATAAGGTATGCGTTATAGGGTGGACATAGTCGCTGAAGGCAATATCAGGCGGAGGAATTTCGCTGGCAAGTATGATAGTCCTACATTTGGAAAATGACTATTTAAAACATCACTTATTTCTCGAGGGGAAGTATAAGCAGCATTTCCAATTTTGAGAGCGTTGACTAGTTGTCTCTTTAGTTTTTAGCCATAAGACTGAGATTTATTCCTTTGCACGACTTCTTAATATCCGCTCCTTGATTTACTGCGAAATATGTATTATAATAAGATGATTTAGCCAGTTTTATCGCTTCATTCACTTGGGTTCTGACTGATTTATGGCTTGACCAGCTTTCCTCAGTTGTTAGTCTGCAGGCAACTTTTTTTAACCTGTCCCTTTCGAACATCAGCCTCACAAGTCTGGGTTATGTCGGGGAATAAGTTAGTTGCTCTTTAAGAATAAGTCAAATATTAATTGTAAAAGGAATTAGTTAAATGATTACGTGATAGATTGCATCAATTCTCAGTAAATTGAACTTAGTGCACAGTTTATCAGCTGATGTACTTTGCATGCGCTAATTGAACCAAATAAGGAAGGGATCATGTGAATTAGGCTTGATATATCGTACGATAGTTATATTACTGTAAGCTGTGCATGTGATAGATTATAGTACTGTATTGTGTAAGACAGCAAAAAACCGAAGTACACGTACACTGTAATCAGATCGATAGTAGAACCCTTGAGAGGTAG